ATATCGAGTTCGATTTCTCGTTTTCAACATTTGAAATATCGCAATTGACATCTTCTAAAACGCTCGCTGAAACGTAAATTAATTAATAAATTAATATTATAAACGATTTCGATAGATTTAAAATGAAAAATTAAAAAAAAAAAAAAAAAATACTTCTAAGAGATTTTTTAGAAAGGATTTCCGTTAGATTATTATTATTTTCGTTATAAACTTTTCCTAATGCTGTAGCGTGTTCTTTGGGTAATCCCAATTGTTGTAATTCGTTATTTAAAACATCTTCTTCTATTCCGTATCTAGCAGAAGACGTGAATATTTGAGATATGGCAGCAACGCAACCTTTCATATCATCTTCGTCTAACAACAACAACAACAACAACAACAACAAAAATCAAATTTTCGAACCTTAACGTTTCCGTTAAATTTTCATTTTGGAAAATTTCATTCACCTAATTTAGCATCAGAAACTAATTTCGTTGCTTTTTCTTCCTGAAAACAAACAAACAACAAACAAAAGAAAAAAGAAAATCGTTAAAAAAATAACAATGACGTCCATTTTTTTTAAAAATAAGACTGATGACGTAGGTTTTAATTGAACGGTTCTAACGTTTCCATTTTTTCCTTTTTTAACGGCAAAAATGAAAATTACGTGGATTATTTATTTATTTATTAATTTTTAATAACCAATTATTTACAAATAATAATAATAATAATAATAATAATAATAATAATAATAATAATAATAATAATAATAAATATGTTCGTTTTTTTAGATATCGTCTAACGTTCGTTTATGAATAAGAAAAAAAAGAAAACGTCAATCTTTCTTCTTTTCAATCATTATTATTATTATTACCATTATTATTATTAACATTATTATTATTATTAAACAATAATAAACAGATAATATTACGAAAAATATAAAGAAAGGAAAAACTTACGTTAAATTCGTCTCCTGTTAAAAATTTCAAAACGATTTGTCCCAACATTTTTACTTTTATAGAACTCTGAAATCATTGAAAATGATAATAAGTAATTTTCGGGGGGAGGGGAGAAAGGAAGGAAAGTATCTATGATAAATGTTGTTGTACCATTTTAGATAAAGTGTTAATTTCTGCCAGAACCCAATCCGGACAATCTAAATCTCCACAAAATCTGAATCTCTGTAGGAGAAAAAATAAGATGTCAGGTTTGTACGGAAAACAAACAATATTAAAACGATACCTTATTAACAAAAACCTGAATTAATTATTAAACTCACCATTTTGAAATATTACTTAGAACATGGCAACCTGAAATCAAAGAAACAAACAAAAGAAAATATAAAAGATTTTCCTATTCGAAAAAAAAAAATGTCTGAACGTTTTTTCTGGAGATGTAAAAGTGTAATGATGGAATTACAAGACTACTCTAATCCTTTCAAAAGTACTATTATTATTATTATTACTGTTT